AGCACCGCGCAGGGCCTCCGCCCTCTTCCGCTTCCCTGGCGGCGGCGGTTCCCAAGCCCGGAGTCACCGCGGCTCAGACTCCACTGACGCTGTGCCCTGGAGGCCTCGCACCCCTCAGCCAGGGCCTGCTGCCTTCAGACACCGCCCTGCCCACCAGGGCCCGGTCAGCCTCGCCTCCGCCTCCGTGGACTTAGACAGTTGGGCCCTTGGGAATTGCACCTGCCCTGCCCGGGGACCCCCTTTCCCCATCAGTGACCACGGTGGGGAGCAGTCCCCAGCCCAGCCCTGCCCCTGTGTACCCCCAACAGGTCAGTCAACCTCAGCCCCACCCCTTTTTTTTTTTCATTCCAGAACCGTGGGCTGGGTGTCACTGAGGGCCTGGCACCTACAAGATGCTTAACAAACCTTAGTTTGGTAGTCCACAAGGGATTTTTTAAATTAATAAGACAGTCTCTGACTTTATAAAGAGATAGACATGCAACAAATAAAGAGGATGCAGACCGTCGTGTTTAAAAGTTCCAAAACAGGACTCAGAGGATTTTGGGGTTTGAATCCCAACTTGGTCCCACTTCCTAACTGTGTGTCGCTGGACTAGTGACTAACCTCTCTGAGCTTATTTTTCTGCATTTATAAAACAGGGATAATCTGTTCTTCATGGGGCGGTTGTGAAGATTAAAGAGATAGTTGGTGTAAAGTGCTCCGCACAGCAATGTCTGGCACTGAAATGCTCAATTAATGTTAGGACACCCAATACTCCAGTTGTTGTTACGTGGTTCTCACAATGCAGTGCCAGGTGCTATGGGAACATACAGTTCATGAGTCAACAATGTTCAGGCAACAGGACCTGGGCTAGAAGTTGGAAATAGTTCAGTGAACAAGACAAAGTCTGCCCGCATGGGGCTTACAGCCTACGGTCCAGAGGAGGAAGTCCCCATATATCTGAGGACTTGGGGGTGGGGGTGGGGTGCTTTACAGAGAAGGATATTTGAACTGGGCATTGAAGGATGAATAGGAGTTTGAGAAATAGAGAAGACAGGAAAGGCTATTCAGAGAAGGTGAAGAGATGGTGTGGCAAGTTTCTGGAAAGGGAAGAGGGTGATGTATCTGCTCCTATTCTGTCCTCTCCATCCCCAACTCCGGTTTCAGCCCTCATCATCTGGTCTGCTGTCTCCGCTGCCTGACACCCTTCCATGGCTCCACAGTCTCTATGAAAACAAGTCACGCTGGGTCTGGAATGCCCATCTCTCCCTTCTGTGCCTACCACCCCTCTATTGCTCCAGCGGACATCTTTCAGGCCCGGGCCAGCCTTGCTTCCTCAATGGGGCTTTCTTTCCCTCAGAGCTCGAGCATCTTTAGAAGAACCAGGGGCTCAAGCCATGTTGATTGATGGAGCCCTGGGGTGCTCCATACCACTCAAGGGCAAACCCAGACTCTAGGCAGGCACGAGGAGAAGCAGGCACAGCGGAGGCATGGAGAAGCAGAATATAATCATGCATCTGCACCCTCCACCCCTCCTTCATCATCACCCAGACCCCTGCTTGGATTTCAGGGCTCAGTGGGGGAAGGTGGGAGTGTCCACCTCTCGCAGGCTTTTCCTGGTCAGGGAAGGTAGCCGTGACACAGGACAGGCTTAGGATTCAGAAAGACCCAGACTTAAATTCAGATGCTGGGTGACCTTTGATGGGGTTATTTACCCTCTCAAGGTCTCAGCTCTTGTATCAGTAAATAGATAACCACTTCACAATGACCCTTGAAAATTCATAGAAAAAAAAGTTCCACTAAAGAATCCTCAACGCTAGGCTTGGAAACAGGAAATGAGAGAAAGGAGATTAATCACATCGCCAATTGGTTTTTAACCAATTCCTACAGAGATTCTACCCAGCTGTACTGTGTCCATCTTTAAACAGCTGTTACCGCCTTTGTGGCCATTCACACTCAAATGACGTCACAGTGAAGATACTCGCTAGTGTCTGCTTTGGTTCTGTCTCCCCAGTTATGCCAGATCATTTTTATGTAATTTAAAAAATTTATATATTTTTTTTTATTGATTTCAGAGAGGAAGGGAGAGGGAGAGAGAGATAGAAACATCAGTGATGGGAGGGATTCATTGATTGGCTGCCTCCTGCATGCCCCACACTGGGGATTGAGCCCAAAACCCAGGCATGTGCCCTGACCGGAATTGAACCTCAACCTCTTGGTTCACAGGTCGATGCTCAACCACTGAGCCACGCTGGCCGTGCTGTAATATTTTTGACAGAGGGTGTCAAGGAGTGTTCTGGACTGGCAGACAGTGTAGATGCAAATCTCAGAACCTGTGGTTATAAATCTTAGTGGAGCTGTTGGGTTGTAGGAAAAACAGACAAGAACCCCCTTGAGAGCAGGGTTGTGTCTTTTTCATCCAGATCCCAAGACCCACAGGGAGCCTGAAACACAGGAAATGAGAGGGCACACAGGAGTAATCACCAAATGAACCACGGCCGGTTGGCATGGAGATCTGGCTGCTGCCTAGTTTTCCCAGGCACAGACCCGCCAATCTCTGGAGTCAGGTCCTTCTCCTGCCCCAGGCTGAAGCCAGGCCTGGGAATGTCCTTAATGCTCCTGGGCCACACCCGTCTCCCAGATAACACTCTCCCTAGCACCGTGGGACCCAAGCATCCGGGAGCCACTGGCAAGGCAAAGGTCCCAGTGGAAAGGAAAGGGGGATGTGTGCCTTTTTTTTTTTATATATACATTAAAAATATATATATTGGCCCTAGCCGGTTTGGCTCAGTGGATAGAGCGTCAGCCTGTGGACTGAAGGGTCCCAGGTTTGATTCTGGCCAAGGGCACATACCTGGGTTGCAGGCTCGATCCCCAGTGGGGTGTGCAGGAGGCAGCCAATCAATGATTCTCTTATCATTGATGTTTCTAATATTGATTGACTGATTTATTTCAGAGAGGAGGGGAGGGGGAGTGAAAGATTGAAGCATCAATGATGAAAGAGAATCATTGATCAGCTGCCTCCAGCACGGCCCCACTGGGGATCGAGCCTGCAACCCCGGGCATGTGCCCAGGTATATGACCTCCTGGTTCATAGGTCAGGTGAGATATGTGCCTCTTCCTCTGTCTGTCAGCAGCCCTAGCCTGTTGCATGGCCCCCGTTTCCTGACTCCCTCTCTTTCCTCTTACAGACATCCCACCCTCCTCCTGGTCTCTAGGCCCAACCTCAGCTGCCCCGTCATCCCCGCCAGGTGCTGCAGGGCAGAGGGGGGCACAGTGCCAAGGCTTCATTACAGCTAATGAGGGCTCGGCTCTGCAGATGCCGGTGCAAGATACGGGAGAGGACCCGGACCGCCTGCAGCCCCATCAGGACCTCGGGCCCTCAGCTCCCTCCTCCCCGTCTCTGGAGGGGGAACCAGGGCCACATCCTCGGAAGAGGTAAGGGAGATTTAGAAGAATCTTCCCAAGTACAGAGAGTGCCATGATGCCACCGAGAGATTGGGGTGTGGGGGCATGAACTAGAAAACAGCCTCAGGATAGGGTTCTCACCTGGGCGGCCAGAGGCTCCACTGTCCACTACTCAATAAAAAACAAACAAACAAACAAAACTAACAGAAACCCACTCCTCCCCTCCCTCCTTTCATGGAATCACAGCGGGTCAGAAGAGACCAGGGACTCTTCACTACCCTTGGACTGTAACTCACGACCCGAGCTCCCTTCTCAGCTGGCTCCCATCCTCCCTCTTCCTCCCACTTTTGCCGCTCCCTTGCCCTCTGCCTCTGCCTCCTTGTCCTGCCTCCGGGCCTCGGTTTCCCCATGAGTCAAATGGAGAAGAAGGGAAGTAGGGGTGGCCTATCTCCCGTTAAAACTTTTTTTTAAAAACATATTTTTATTGGTTTCAGAGAGGAAGGGAGAGGGAGAGAGCGATAGAAACATCAATGATGAGAGAGAATCATAGATCGGCTGCCTCCTGCACGCCCCACACTGGGGATGGAGCCTGCAACCTGGGCATGTGCCCTTGACTGGAATCGAACCCGAGACCCTTCTGTCCACAGGCTGACGCTCTATCCACTGAGCCAAACCAGCTAGGGCACCAGCTGAAACTTTTGAAGATGTTCCCTCTCAGAGAACTTCTCTCCCCGCCCCCCTCTCTCTTTTGGAGAACAATCCAGATGTTCCTCCCCACAGAGAATGAGGGAATCTCTGTGGTGGAGGGTGGGAGTCTCCACTTCAGCCCCCCCTTTCAGCCTTTTGGGGGCTCTCAGGAGCAGGAAAAGCTCTGATGACCCAGATCTCTACCCCTCTCTCTTACCTAGGGCTCTAAGTCCCACATCCCCCCTACCCCACCCCCCAATCTCTCCAAGGAACTCTCACACTCTTTGAGGAAATTAAAAAAGAGAAAGAAGCTATGAATTTAGGAGCCCAGAATCAGACAGAAATCATGATAGGAGCCAAATGAACCTTTATCGGGGCCAAAATGAACTCTGCCTTTCCCTATATTGACCCCCCACTTGGAGGCCAAGACCCCAGGTCAGTTGTCCTCCCACAAGTGCCCCCAGCCTGGCCACATTCCTCCAGCCCACACACCTCCCGCCAGCCTGCTGCCCAAAGGCACTGCATCTGCTTGCATCCTTGGCTTGCAGATCCGTCATCCTTGCACCCCGCCCCAAGCTGTCTCTCCACCCAGGGGTTCAGGCTGAGCTTTGAAAGGGTCACTTCAAAGAGGACCTGCCTGTGAGAGCCCAGCCAGACCCAGGGCTGGCTCCTCGGCCAGATTCCCGGCGGCTGGGGACAAAGGCTCCACTGTTCCTCCGACCCCCAGACGCCCCCAAACGCACTGGGCATAAGAAGTCTTTCTTTCCCCAGTTCCGCTCCTTACAGGCCCTTGCTCTCTGCCACTGGGAGTAGCCCTGGTCCCTCCTCCAAGAGAGACTGGGAGACAGGGAGCTACCAGCTCCCCCATGACCACCACCACCACCAAACACCCACCCCCTCGGGCAGCCAGAATGTGGAGGCAGCCTTGGGGCCTCACCGCCCCTCAACCACCAAGCCCTTTGCAGGCCTGCAAGGGCCTCCCACCCATCAGAACCAAGCCCATGCTTACAGGCCTTCTCCAGGAAGTCTTCCAGGACTCCCTGTGCTTGGAGGGACCTCACGGCACAGCCGCGAACCTCGCATTCCTCTCTCCAGTCCCTGAGAGCAGGAACCAGGTCCCACCTGCTCCTCTGATTCCCTACCACCCGGCGCTAATCCCCGAGCCGAGCCCTTCAGGTTTTCTGTGTTAACCTCTCACCCAGTGCCTGAATTCTCTCCACTCCAGCCGGAGCTTGCTCACCTCCTCTGATTGGGGCCCTCATCACCTCCAGGGGCAGCTCATTTCCTCTTCAGATTACTCAGGCCATAAAGGGTTCCCTCTATTGAGCCCAAAGTATGTTGTTCTCATTTCCATCCATTGATTATTGTTTGTTTAATCACAGTTGCTACTAAGAGTTCAGATTACCAGATGTCAGCCACTTTACCTATATTACCTCATTTAATCCAAAACAATTTTGAGGGTTTATTTCAGGGACAAGAAAACTGAGGCCAAAAAACAATGAACTTGGCTAAGGTCACATAGTGAACAAGGGGTAGGGCTGAAATCTGAACTTCAGCAAGGCTGAAGTCAGGGCCCAGGCATTCAACCTACCTCCCAGTGTGCCCAGGCACCTCCCCACACCGAGTCTTCTTTTTGCCAGTCCAGCTCCCCACCAGCCTTTGTCAGTACATCCAGTGTGGCCTGGTGATGGAGTCTCATGTTCATTCAAACCAGCAAATGGGGAGCAGGGGGAGTCAGAGGGGAAGCAGTCACCTGCCCAGGAGCACACAGGTTTGAGCAGGTTGGAGGAATGACCCTGGCCATCGTAGGGTTTAGGACCGGGAGTCCAATACCCCTTCCTGTGAGACATAGAGAACCGATGGCTATGACAGGCCCTGCCCAAACCAAACACTCGGTGCGCCCTCCAACTATTAAGCTGAACATCTCAGGGCCAGAGAGAGAAAAAAGGAACAGGCCTCTTTAATCCAATCTGTAGTCTTTTCCCATGTGCCCACTGCCCAGCACTGTCCCCTTGGAACTCTGGGAGAAGAAGGCAGGGAGAGAGGGCAAGAGAGAAGCCAGAGGACTGGGGGCCCCCAGTGGCCCCCGTTAAGCGGTGGAGGGCGTTCGTGACAGGGTGTGGGTGAGCTTTCCTTTTCTTTCTAGGTTTGGCTCAGGCACCCCTGGCGCAGATAACACAGTAATGCACTTCTCAGCTGCCTTCCCAAGACTCCAGTCCCGGCTACTTCCACAGGCTTAGATGATTGAATTCTGTGGTTTTTCCATACACTGTCAGTCATTCAGTCAGTCAACAAACAGCACTGCTCTGGCCAGGCTCTGTGGGTACCAAGATAAACAGGACACCTCTGGGCCTGCCTGGAATGAGGTCAAGAGCAAGGTCAACTCCTTAGCTCTGCCACCAGCTGTGTGCCATGAGGAAGCCATGTAATCTTTTTGTGCCAATTTCTTTGTCTGGATGATGATAATGTACCTACCTAGAGTGGTAAGCACTTTGGAAGTAGTTGCTATTATTTTTCTTGCCCTCAGATAATGCCAGTCTGGTTGGGGAGACTGACTTGTAGACCGACGGTCACAATGCCAGGGGCAGAGCTAGGCACGGTGCACCCTGGGAGGCCAGGGGAGGGGCTGCTCCCTGGCCTGCACTTCACAAACATTTATGGAGAATCGCTCTGTGCCAGGCACTGTGCTGGCCACTGGGGACACGGAGATGAACGGGACACATTGTCCACTCATCCTTGCTCCTCTCCGCCCTCCCTTCTCCCTCCTGGGCCTGGTCCCAGAACCTGGCACCGAGGGGGACACTAAGGACAGAACCAACTGTGCATGGAAAGGCATGGCCTGGGGGCCGGGCAATCAGAACACCTGGGTTCATGTCCACCACTCACAGGCCACCTGACATTGGGCACTCTCTGACCTCAGTTTCCCCACTGGAGCAGGAGGGAGTTGGACAAGAAGACCCCTCTGGTCCTGACCCACACTGACAGCTGATGACGATGCTCCACCCCCAGAGGGCCCCAAAGTCCAGTCCCAAGGCCACCCCAGCCTGCTGTCCCACCGAGGCAGTGGGGAGAAGATGCCTGCCTGGCACTAACTGGCACTGCCCTGCTGATGAGCTGGCACAATTTCACGTGGAACAGGGGCCTGGATCTAAAGGCGGGTTGTTGGAAGGGGTGGGGGTGCTAGGGGCAAGGCAGCGCCAGCTCCCACAGGCCCTATTCATGGCTCTCTCTCTGGGGAGGGAGAGAGAGCAGGATAATTAAGCCCAGGCTTTATCCAAATCCCTGACCAAGCCAATATCTCACCTTTGAACCAGCAGACCAGGGCTGATGTCCCTTTGGAAGGAAAACACCAATGAACCGAACCATGACCAAGTGCTATGGGCTGGCATGGGGTCTGGGGGTTGGAGGGGTAAATGAGCTGATTCCCCACCCACCAACCATGGACACCTGAGGCCTCGCCACCCTGAGGCCTCTTGTGCCCATCCCTGTCCCAACTGAAAGAAAAACCACCAAGCTCCAATCTAGCAAGAGGTTGACCTTGATCTTGGGCTGTGTCCAAGATGGACCCAGCTTTGGGATGCGAATGACAGCAGGACCAGGCAGGTCCTGAGACGAGGGATAGCAGGGTGAGAGGATGGACTCCAGCCGGATTGCCGGGACCCTACCCCGGCTCTGCCACTTAGTGATGTGATTTTGTTCAAGCTGTTAGCTCTGTGTGCCTCAGTGCCCTCAACTGTAAAATGGGAATGATGGTACCCACACCTCATGGTTGTGTTGTGAAAATTAAATGAGGTCATTTATACAAATCCTGGCCCATGTCTTAGCTGTCAGCTGTACTATGAAAGAAACTCCCCCTCCTTAAAAACCCATGTTTGGGGGCACTAATGTATATGCTCGTTTGACTATATTTGATCCCCTATGAATCGCTCTGTATTTCTGCACTGGAATCCACCTCCACCGGAATCTACCAGACCCGCTAGAGTGGAGGAAAGTTCCGGCATGGTGCTCCAGGCTAGCCTGGGGTGCTGCAGCTCTGAAGCCTCTCCCCGGAAGTTCTCCCCAAGAGCTAACTGCAATCCCTCCTATTGTAACTGATTCCATTCTCCTCCTTTGTACTCTCTTAACCACGCACATCATGAAATCCTTCTAAGAATCCCTGCAACGAAGGATGAAGCAATACATGCCTCTGCCCACTCCTGCACTGCCCTGTCCTGTACCGACACCTGCCCTCACCCCCACGCCCATTCATGCCAAAAATGCTGCACCCCTGGAGGACCAGACTGGCCCCCTGCTCCCCCTTCCCATGAGCTCAGGGTCAGCCTGAGGAGGGAGCACAGACTCCATCCAGGCGGCCCAGACACAGGGCCTATTCCCCAGGCCCAGACCCTCTCTGCTTGGACTGGGATCCTCAAAAGCCGGCCCCATTCCCCATGGTGTCCGAAAGCCACCTTCCTCATAACGCTCTCCTCTGCTCTCCTCCGAAAGGTTTTCATCTTGTGACTCCCATCAAGAGACTGGGGGGCCTGGGATGCAGAAACTGGGAACTCCTCGCCCCTTGGGGGTGGACTCAACCACCATGTGAGCAAGTGGAAGAGGCTGAGGTTGGGAACCTTTGAGTTATGTTTGGAGGTGAAATGAGGTTATGGAGTCGAGATTCACATCCAACACCAGTGAGCACAGCATCTCAGCGAGAGAGCGGCCACTTTTGGGAATGGGACTGTTGCCCTGGCAGAGGGGGAGAACATGGGATCAAAGCCATCCACCCCAAGCTAGGCCACAGGGTAAGGGTGGGGGTGAGATGGTAGAGGAGAGAGATGAAGTATGTGTTGGTGGTGGTGGTGGTGGTGGAGGAGTGTAATCCAAGGGACTCAGGCTTAATGACCTCCACCCCCACCCCCACCCCCTGTCCATCCTGAATTTCAAGTTTGTAATTAGGAGCACTTTGGCTGAGCGGTGGAGGGGGAGTCCGGGAGAAGTGAGCACACATCCCTCCAGCTCCCGAGACACTCAGCAGTCTCCAGTGTCTCCGAGTTTGCAAAGTGCTAGACCCCAGCTTCCCTCTGGGGGGGAGGGCTGGGAGGAGCACCCCCGCGGCCCCCAGCCCTGTCAGAGGAGGAAGAGGCCTCAGCCCAGACCTTGACCCCAACATAGACCCCCAGGGAACTTCCTTTCCAAGCCCAGAGAACAGACTGGCCTGACGGTGTTCGATCCTTCAGCTCGGGAAGGGGGGGAGTGCATGTGTGGGTGCCCCGGCGGACCGGGCAGCCGGGCTGGGCAGGAGGGGGCTGACCCGATGGGGCCCGGAGGCCCCTGCCAGCCCCTCCCCACCCTCAGCAGCTGGCAGATGAAAGAACCCAAGCAAAGCGGCCCAGCGCTGAGTAATCCCCTGGCACCCCGCGACCAGACCCACCCACGGCCAGTCGGGGGGACCAGGGGTCCCGAACCCATTCTCTTCCTCGGGACCCCCGTGGCGGGGGGTGGGGG